CCACAGACCCGGCCCCGATCAGCGTCTCGTTCTGCCTCCTTCCACCTGCCGCGCCTCGGCGGGCGCTGCCCCCATCGGTGTTTACAGTCACACTTGCATACACATCGAGACAACTGACTCCTCTTACTCTTCACATACAAAAATGCCCTTTTCTTGTGTTGTGCACATGTATTTTTTTTCATAGACACCGTTTACAGCCTTGCTACAGCAACCACACATACTCATAATCGGCAAGTTACTCTTTGTTGTCAATTCTCTGCTTCCCTAGCTGCAGCTGCACTTGCTGCTGAGGGTTTTTTCTTACCATTTTAAGCGTAAGTTCAGCTGAAAAAGCTTCTGTCACTTTGCATCACTCTTTGCTATTTAATGTATTATTCTCAGCTTTTCAGAGAGAAGTTTCTAATTCAGTATTGCTTAATTTTCATTATCTCAACTCTTCCCATGTAATTTGTCGTACAACAAAGAGGTTTAATTTTTAGCATTGGTCAAGAAAAATACTTTTAAGATCTGTTGTGTTTTATTAATACATTACACCTGTTTTCAGATATTCTTGGTAATTTAGCTGTTGTTTTGTGGGACCTAGTGTATGTTTGCTTTGGGTTTTTTTCAGTTGCCTTCCATCTTGCTTGTCTGCTTCCTTTTCCCTGCAAAGAACATCCCACACAACTGTTTTTAAATCAACAGTAAGCAATGAGTAATCTCTGTAATCTTGGAGGGTTATCTGGAAAACCAGGGTTTGCTCGATTTCTTTCTGGAGCTCTACCATTCTTCTGCTGCTTTAGCAGAACTGCCAAGCTTGAGCATTTGTCTCTATTAAAATGCATCTGAATTCCTGGTTTGTTCTTCTTTTTCATCTATTACTTTAGTATCCATGGAGATCTTGGTGTTTTGTGCTGTTTCTGCCTGTTTAGTGTTGCCAACTTGTTTTTTTCAGAGGTTCTTTGCCACTTACTGTGCTCTCTCCCAGCGTAAGTACATTCCAAATCTTTATTTTTTGTATTATTTTGTTTACTAACTCTGTACTCTTGTTCAACTAAAGCAGTGTTTATATTAGCACAACTTTTTCTAGAAGTCCCACAATAAAGCAAAACCATACTGATAGTTCAGCTAACAGGCAAGAAGCTTGTCCCACAGCAGGAGGAAGGGCAGGCAGCTCTCCTGTTGCTTGAGCACATTTGTTGCTGTCTTGGAGTCACAGCCTTGCTTCTCTTGCATGACTACATTGGAAGCTGCATTATAGAATTGCTACTGTTGATACATGGTCTGCCATGCAGATCTGCAACATGCACAGACAAAACTATGTGAAGGTTTGAATTTACTGTTAAGTGGTTCAATGGCAACATTGACTTTGTCTTTTTTTTTACATCTTATACCTAAATCTTTATCAGTGACAGTATCTGCATGGTAATTTTAAGTGACATTTCAATAAGGAAAATAAGTCTGCAGTGACTTTTAAAAATTATGAGTGGTAGCTACTGCAGAAGAGCTACAGTCACCTACGTTCTGAAGATGTAAGAGAACTTTGAGCATAACTGTGGCCAAGGACAGTGAGAAAAATCTATTGAATATACCTGAAAAGGTCAGCTGAAAACTTTATCCCCATACTGACAACCGAGGAACATGGAGAAGTTGCTTGGAGGCCTGGGCTGGTAAGACTACAATGGAAGGAAGCAGTCTTCTTTAAAACAGAGCCTGTCTAGTGATGTTCAACAGGTGTGTATACCTGCAAGGCCCAAAGCTATGGCTATCTGCTTATTTCCACAGCCTTAAATGGGTACAAATACACGGAATTGCACAACTGCACTGGTTTGCAACAATCTGGAAAACTTCCAGCAGCATTTAGGCCAGGTCACTTATAAATTCCTAAATGGTCTAATCTGCCAGGGTAGCAAATGCAGAGTATCCAGAACAGATAATACTGTTGGGGTGTGGAGGAAAAATGTTCATCTTGGAGAAAAGAATATGTCTAAAGCTACTGCTGCTCCTCGTGAAACAAAAATTTGGAGCTTCCAAACCCCTTTGTTTTCTAACACTCAACAAAGTGGGCTAGGTAAGGATTCCGAGATACAGACCCAATAAGCTGTTATTGAGCAGGCATTCTTTATTGCAGCGCTGGGCAGCACTGGGGATTCTCCACCATAAGTACTCTGAGGCCTTAGCAAAACACCCCAACAAGCACACACCAAAACCACGCATATTCAGTTTTATGTCAACGAGTTCCCAGAATTCTTTTACATAGTCATTTTGTTTCCTGGAATTGTCTGTCTTTGTAATTATGCATTCTCAAGGGTCTCCTGGGGTGGGGTCTTTGTTGATCCTAGTCCTGTCACCTTTCTCTTGTCTCCAGTCTCCCCTGGTAGATTGCCCAGGTGGGTCGGAATCAACACGAGTGTCTGTAGGCACCTCAGATCTTAAAAGACTTGATGTTATCACAACCTGCAGGATGCTTGGCATAACTGAGAGGTTCACAAAGCACATTCTTTTAAAAGTAACCCGTTCAGCTAACTTAGTACAGCAAACTAGTTATTTTAGTAAACTTTTATCAAGCTATACTTCCACTGAATCTACTAACGAGTATCCTATGACTATCACCAGGCTTCTATGAAGTACAAACATTTTGCCTTTCAGTTAGCCCAAATGGGAGACGTACTTCTGAAGCAGTATCAATCGGTGTACATGAAAACTACCAAAGCTGGTAACAGGGCCCCAAGTTAACCCCCACTGTGAAGCAAAAGTGCCTGCAGAGGAACTTCGCCCATAGAACGTGGGATGAACGAAAGGTTCGCTTGCCGGCCGCCCTGTCAGGCCCTGGGGAAGCGCTTTGGTTCGCCCTGCCGTGCCAAGGGAGTCCGGTGGCGCTGCCTGGAGGGCC